AGTGCAATCTGGGAGCAGTGCTGCCAGCCTCAGTGTTTCTCTGGCACAGTGGGCTCCAAAGCCAGCTGGGGCTGGGCAGACCCTGTATTTCTATCAGGTCCTGTGGGTGATGTGAGCAGAGGATTTCCCAGCCTGTGGGATAAGTGTGGACTATGCAGTTTGATCACTGGTGACTCAGAGTTACCCCCATCCCAGGCACAGCCACGCACCAGCACGACCTGGGACAGGGACAGCCGTGGCCACAGGGCATCCCTGCCCACACTGGTGGTGTACCATCTCCTGCCCCATGACCTTTCTCACCAGGCTGGCAGCTGTGGGCTCAGGACACAGCCTTGTGGTGATGGGCGCAACCACTACCCTGACACAGGTGTCCTGACTATCTGGCTCACCGACTGAAATAAATTGAACAGAAACTCGAAGAACTCTGAAAAATGCTGTAGTGAAAGGTCTGGAAGGAAGCTGGAGGCACACAGACCCTACGGCTTTGTGGGCAAAGGTGTCCACAAGGACATCTGGCACAGGATACCTGCTTTATGCTTCCCAGACAGGGCTGTGATGAAAAACCATCTTGTCTGGAGGAGGGAGCTCACTCCCAGGCTCTGCACTGCCAGCTTGCAGCTGGGCTAATGTGAAGGAATGCACTCCCTAGCAATGCTTCCTTATAAATTATTTTTACTGGGAGATTTGAGTGTCGTTACAGTGAATGTGTGTACAAATACTGGAAGAACAATGTGTGCTAGAGAAAACGAAGTGAAAAACCACCCAGCTTCCTATTTCTCCTGGGTAAACCTGTGATTTCTCCCACCTTCTTGAGTTGCAGTCTAATACAATATTGTACAGCCTTCTGCCTCCTTAAATAATTCCTGCTGGAGTAGTAGACACCGAGTACATCACTCAAATCCCATGAAGTTGTTTAGCTTCCAGTTCCACATCCTGAGGAGTTAACTCTCTAGGAGAAGGGAATGATCTGGGAGTCCCTCAGGGTGCTCTCCTGGCACAGGATAACTCCTGGCATGGTGCTAGAGCTGCATATTTTGCATGGGCTTCCAGTTTTACTGTCAGTCCTATTCTCCTGAGCTCCCATTTCCTCTCTTCAGTTCCTCACACATCTATTGTGATTCAAATAAATGTGATATATTGATGCTTCACCAGTCTGAAATGAACTGCAATTACCAACAGAGGATCCATTTAATTTACTTCCAGCCATCTAGAAGTCAAACACCTGGCTTAAATGAATGGTCTATAGTCTGGGGGGAGGGATGGACATTGCCAGAAGTCAAATGCCTTCCTACCTATTTTAAATACCTTTTCTAAACCAGGATGAACTGCATTCTGAAAGCACTCTCCATGTCTGTAGAGGAACTACAAAACCAAGGTTTAGATGATTCAAGTGGTGACTTGAAACCCATCCTTGATATTTGTTTAGAAAGTAGTTGTGAAAGATGAGAACCAAAGAAAAAACCAAAGAACTATCTGTCAGTTATAAAATAACTGTCCTATAAATTGCTGCCTTTGCAAATAACAAGGATGTGGAAGAGGAAGAAGAAGGAGAGACTGAAGATGTCCCAAGAGAGAGAAGACCAACAGGGGATTTTTAATTATTTAACAGCCACTGGAGTGTGAGATGAGGAGGTTACACCTACACAGGACTTTGAACACGCACCAAGGCACTATAATTTTCAGCCCCTCGCTCTCTGAGATGAATCAAAATTAATAATTGAGAGAAGAAAGTCTCTTGAACTGTTTGTCATCAGTTATATGTCTCTGTTACCTTGGAGTAACACCTGGCACCCGGCAGGTGCTGGGGGACTGCCGGGACACGGTGCCAACTGCACCAGGGTTTCAGTCCTTCTTCAGCCACTCTGCTGCCAGTTTCAAGTGCTTTAGGTGACTTTTTTTCAGAAGTTGCACTCCAGCTTTTCACGTAATAGCAGCACATGTGGAGCAGCAGCTCAACAATACCAGTAAAGCTGCTGAGCACACAGAGAGAAGCAGCGGGGCTGGAGCAACAAGCTGGATTGGGATGGTGGCAAATGAAAGCAAAGCAAACAAAACCTGAGACAGAGTCAACCTTTAGCCAACAAAGTGATGCAATCAGAGCAACCACTTGTTTCTTGCAGCGCTTAACTGAGTTGAAGGAGTAATTCCTGAGGGACATAAGTCTGTTGAATGCATTAAGTAGAGAATAATGCACTTTACTGAATGAGGTGGCCATGGGCAGGGCCCTTCTTTTGCATGGCAGTGAAACCTTTTGTGCCATGGTGGGGCTGCCTATACATTCCTGAGATGGGTTTTAACTCAGCATGGGTTGGGCACAAACCCTGCATGAAAGTTTGCAGAAGGGGACCCTGCAAGCTGCAGCATTCACAGAGCCCTGGCCGGGCTCAGGCTGGCTCAGAGTGGTAGGGACTGACCCTGCCCACAAACAGCTTCTGTCTGCCTCCTTGGCCCCAGAGCCAGTTGCTGTGCCCCTGTGAGAGCCAGCAGTGGTTACTAAGCCAATCTTAAAGCTGCTAGTTCTGGCTACAGGCTCTTGTCCTGCCTTGTTGTCAGGGTGCCTCAGGACCAGGCAGCTCAGAGTCTAGACTGCAAGGGTGTTCAGCATCTAATATCTTGGGCTGTGAGACCACAGAAATCTCATTCCTTTAGGAAGAAGCTCAGGAATAGCACTTTTGCCGTCCTGCCAACTGGGCATAGCATCTTTGAGAACGAAGAACACTGCCTTTGCAGCTGACTATAGGCAAATTTTTCAGGCTTTTTTTCTGAATTTGCATGCCGTGGACACTGTTCTCAATCCCTTAGACACCTAAATGAAGTCCGATTTAACCTTGGCTGATAAAGTGTCAGCAGCTGCACAGTAAGATTTTCTGAAATTATGGCTGCAAGTCTTGCACATATCAGAAAAACTCCACTGAGATTTTCATCAGCATTAGGCCATGAAAGGTTACTATTGGAAAAGAGCGGGATAAATCAAGCAAAACTATCAACAGTGGGAGAATATGCTATTTATTTACTACCATGTAAAGCTGAAAGAGGGAAAGACAGTAAAAATGAAAAATATTCCTTTTATTTTTTTTAACCATAAAGCTTTCCCCTTTCTTTCTTGTCCTATATTTCATATTGAAAGGAGGAAAAGTGATAAACTTCCCTTTATTTTTGCTTTTTTTAGTCTAAGGAAACTGCAATGGCAAAATCAAAAGCCAGAATGTTTTTAAGATACTCCTTTTATCTCCCTTTGCTGAAACACATAAAATTAAAAGGTAGTGTAAGACATCTATTAAATTACTTTTTTTCCTTCCACCTTTTTGCTAAACACAGCAGAGGAAAAAAGTCAGAAAAAAAACCCCCATGACTGAACAGGGCAGTTGCTTTGTCTTTCAGGCACAGATTAAAAAATATTGATAGGTTTATATATAAATACATATGCTGTAACCAAAACCTCAAATTCAAATACACCTGAGCTTTTGGGAAGTTTGTATATACATTCAATCTTTGTGGCTTAGGCTCATCTGTAACAGAAATATTTGCAAATAGACAGAATACTTCCTCTTTAATCTTATCTAGCAATCTGTCTGTTTGTCTGGGATTTTCCTAGAGATGGTCTCAGATCCTGATATCTGAGGGCTGCATGGCTAAATTAAGGAGAGATCATACACAACTTCACAGAGGCCTTTATTTTTTTCTATTTGCCATGAGCATGTATTTCATTTTCATCCACTGGGATGAAAGGCAGTAGCCTGGCTCAGCCATCACTGGCCCTATGGGACCACCCTTGGGAAAATACATTTTGGCTGATGGTTCATAAAATCATAGAATGGTTTAGGTTGAAAGGGGACTTAAAGATCATCTAGTTCCAAACCCCTGCCCTGGACAGGGACACCTTCCACATGACCAGGTTGCTCCAAGCCCCATCCAACCTGGCCTGGTTGTTTGCACTATGGGCAGACTGTGGCTGACAGGCACAAGGGTTGTGAGTCCTCTTTCCTGGGGCTCTTCCAGAGCTCAGAGCACATCCCACCCTTCATCTCCCAGCTCTTATGCTTCCATCAGACCAAACAGTGTCCAGCGGTACCTCATCAGCTGCTCTACAGGTCACGTACCTCAGAGGACAAATTCCGGATTCATGCCCAAGAGCTATTTCTTCATCCACAAAGAGGATTGTCTGAGGTTTCACACCTTCAGTGCCTCCTTTAGGCCAGCTGCAGCAGCTTGGCAATAGGGAAAAGATGGTGAAATGTCAGGATCTATCCACGTGTGCCTGGCTAATTGTTGTAAATTAGCTTGGCCTGTTTATGCACTTGAAGAACCCGAGGCACCACTGGTAAAGTAAGATAGATTGACTTCAGCTAAGCACCTCAGATCTTGATCTCTGGAGGACAAGAGGTGGTCGAGGCTGTTTAATAGCTGTTCAACCCCAGAGCTGCTTAGACAACTACCCTGCATTGTGTTTTGGACAATTTATCACGGCGTGTACCTGTGTCAGCAGTTACAATTACCTCTGAGATTTAGTGCACCAGGAAAGGCTCCAATTTCAACAGAGCCACGCCATGCAGCATAGATGGAGAGAAATAGGGATTTTTTTCAGAGTTTTATTGTGTCCTTTCCTGTCTGTGTCCCCCCACATTGCCCAGAGGGATTTTGTCACCTCCTTGAGTATTTTCTCGTGGTAACTTCTCACCACTTCAGATTCTCGGCATTCACTGTGCGAGACCTCACCGACTACCAGCGCTCATGTGGTTAATGGGTGAGAGAAGGGGAGAGAGCACATCTGAAAGGAATGCAAAGAAACATAAACAATTTTATTAACAAGACCACAAAATTATTTTTTAATATATGCAGCCATTTACAAGGAGCAAACAAACAAACAGAAAAACCCACTGGGGAGACATGGTCGGCGTCAGCGACCACAGAGAGCGCACACACAGATGGTATGGGCAGGTCTGGGTAGGGTCCCTTTCCTCCAGCCCCTATGAGCATGATAAGCCTGTGCAGACCTGGCCCTAAGGAGGGGGGGTGCCACGTGCATCCTGCTGCGGTGCCAGGGACGATGCCAGCTGGGTCAGGGCTCGGGCAATGGTGGAGAGGTGGCTGTTCATCGTCCGCAGCTCGGCCAGGATGTCGCTCACGTTTGCCGACGCCTGCTCGGAGCTCGGGGGCATGGCATGGGCAGCTGGTGGTGGGGAAGCAGCCCCCGGAGCACTGTTTCCCATAGGTGCTGCCTGGGGATTCTCATCATGGGAGGGCTGTGGGGGTGGGCTGCTGCAGGGCTTCATGCCTTCCAGGGGGCCTGTTCTTATGGGTGGCTGGTCTTCCTCCTTCCCTTGGATGGTGGCAAGTGTTGCCGAAGCGAGGAAGGGCAGCCAGTTGATGAGATGGGTGGCACCGCTGGGTGGGACTATTGGCAAATAAATTCCAGGGTGCAGGGATGGAGCAGAGGCAGGTGGTGCGGGAAGAGAAGGAAGTCCAGGGAGAACAGTGGCAGCAGAAGTGGATGTTGATGGTGAAATAGGAGGTGGTTTGGGACATAAGGCTGCGACACAGGCAGGTAACGGTGGTGAAAATGATGCAGTACCAGTGTCAGAGGAAGAGCAGGGTGATGCTGGAGCTGTGAAAGGTCCAGGTTCTTCAGAGGTTGGTGGTGAAGTGGCAGCAGGTGGAGCATCAGGTGTGCAAGGATCTGAATCTGTAAGGAAGACACATCGTGAGCCTTGACTTACACATACACAGACTGCTGTCTGCTGTCCCCTCAATGGGACCAGACCTTCTGAAAGGGGGAATTTCATCAGCTGGCAGTGATACTCTCTGTAGGCCAATTAGAAAAGAACAGATGTACTCAAAGACAAGAGTCTATTGTAGGTAAACATGAACTTAATATTATAAAACTAAATTAACTTTCCACCCTTATTCTTCATAAAGCCTGTGGACAGGCCCGAACATTTTTCTGGTTGGCGTCTCATAGCTGTGCATTAGCTGGTGAATTCCCTGCTGTGTTTTCCTGGCCAGCCATAGAATGATGGTAATGTCCTAACTGACTCAGATCTCCCCTGGAGATGTGAGGGCTGGATGGTTGCTGCCAGAGGCAAAGTTAATTGCTGCTTTATAGAGGGTCCCAGTTTTCAGCATTTTGATTTGAATAGACAACTAAACACCAGAAACAGTAAGAGCTACTTGGTGGCTTAAACTCTTCAATAATTTTATTTTTTTTTGTATGTGGAAACATGACTGAGTTTACACAATCAAACTTAGATATATATCCCTACCTAGATCCCTTCATTAGCTTCAGCTATGAAAATCAAATCAAAAAAAGAACAAATAGATAAAAAGAAATTGTTGACACTGGTCATCCCAGCCTGACACCTGTGCTCTCTTGCCAGTAGTTCAGTGGACCTCATCCAATGTCCCCTGTGGCCATTAGAAACGTGCTTTCTTGGACTGAATCCATCAAATACAGTCTAGGATGATAGAGCAGCCCCTAGGAGATACACAAAGGCTTGGAGAACCACACTAAGGTCCAAGGTGCTCTACCCACTGTGCCCAGCTGTTAAATACTGCATGGTAAGGATGATCCTATTTCTACAATCATTCTGAAAGCCAGAAATATAATAGGAAATGTTTGCTTTTCGACAGCCTCAAAGGTATGCATTGGTGGAATTACTATACCACTGTAGATTTTTATTTTAGCGTTGGGAACACATTATACAGGAGGTGGTGAGATGCTACAGGAGTGGTCAGTGTAAGACAGATGGATTTTAAAACTATTTCTGCTGCAATTAAGTGCAAATTTTAAGGCACTACTGTGGATACAAAGACACAAATTAATAGATTTATCTAGGTTAAAACAACCTAGAGAAAGCCAAGTACTAAGGTGTTAACACCATATTATTATTATTTCTGGCATCTAAAAAATTTGATGTGAGAAATCCATTTTCATTACTGGCTGGTTTGATATTCCAGATAGCAAACTGAAACTGACTCAAAAACAAAGAAGGCTTCTCCCTGTCATTTCTAACACCAAACCAGCTGGACATGCAGAGAGCAAAAGTCCATCTTTGTCCCACATGGGACCACCATGTTGTTCCTAATCAAACACATGTGTGGCTTAGAGGGGATTATGACACAAAATTCAGACTGCCTTTAGGTCCCCGAGGTTTTTATGGAAAGTTACTGCAGGTTCCTTGAAACAGTTTCCTTCCTTTGTGTATTGGCTTTCTTCCCAATATAAAGTCCTTGCCTTCACAGGCGCTCGATCCATGTCCAATAGAGGTTGGCTAAGGATGCTGGATGTTGGGTTTCCAAAGTGCTATTGATTTGTCTTTGGTTTTTCAAAACAAAAACAAAAATAAAGCACAGTTCAAATACAGGTTCCTTTTCCATCCAAACCACCAAAGTTTGCAGGGCTGAGATGAAAGGTTCAGGTTTGGCTCCACTGTGGTGTTAACCAGAACAACGTTTATGGTCTGCATATAGCATGGCTAATGCCTGTCCACACTGCCCAAACAAACCAAATTAAGTGTAACATTTTTCCATACATTAGAGAGCAGAGGAAGCTTGACAAACCTTGATGTAATCTGGTTTGCTACTGTGAAAAATAACTGTCACAAATGATTCTTAAAAGGTCAAAGAGCAAGCAGGGTTAAAATACAAGTAATGGCAACTAATAGAGACAAAAATAGAGGCACAAATCAGGACACCAAAGGCTCCTCCTTTTGGCTGAAATCTTTTCAAATAGCATGGTTTCCCTATCAGAAGCCACAGCTTTGTCATCCCCCTAATCTCCCCTTAAGGTTTACTTATGCCATGCAGCCTTTAAACACAACTTGCTCAGCTTGATCAGGCTCCCATACTTCCATCCAAGAAATTCCACACGGATGTGTGTAAACCTCACGTATCCAGGACATGTGGAAGCTGTTGCACTGCTCAGATCAATGGGAATGTGCACAGCTGACACAGAGTACTCTGCACCCAGAGCAACTGCTGGTCTGGATGGGGTCTGATCCAACTGCTCAGTTATCTGAAGACCCACACTGGTGATGGAAACTGCAGAATCTCAGCATCACTGAGGTTGAGAGGGATCTCTGGAGACTGCCTAATCACAACCTCTCCTCAAAGAAGTGTCAGCAACTTTTTCTACATGGACGAAATTGCTAGGGCATGTTTGAGAAAGCCCAACAACACGGGAGTCCTAAACAGGATGAAGCATGAAACAAACAACTTCTGTTGCCTATCACATACAACAGGATGATTCTATTTATTTCCTTCCTCTCTAATTTTGTTGTTGTTTTTTTTTTTTTTCTCATTGCAACTTGTCACAACTTTAGTGCTTGTCTTTTCGCTTTTTCGTACAGCCCTAGCAGAAAGAGAGTCTCAACTGGAGCATCCAGGGGCACTCTCATTACTGGGTGTTTAGTCAACATCTAGACAGAGCTGTAGCTAAGTGGGGTTGGATGGATGCCTGCAGAGAAGAGAGCTGTTGGACACAGGTTGCTCAGACAAGTACAGTGACCTTCACTAAACATATCAACCCATCTGTGCATGGTCATTCAGCGTCCTCCAGTACACCCAGTCTACAGAGGCTGGGTAGGTTTTGTAGCATACTCCCAAATCCAAAGATTGACTGTTCAAGGCAGGCTTGTAGCTTAGAAGAAAAGTTATTTTGCCAGCTAAGGAAGCTGACCCAGGACTCAGAAAACTTGGTTGGGATCAGCTTCATTTAAACAATTGAATTGTAAGTGCTTAGTGAAGAAATTCCACGAAAGCCCTATATTTTCCATGTTGTATATAGAGGGAAAGCCCATGAAGGGAAGGCTTAGACACATGAGCTGTATCTCTCTGAGCAGCCTCGCAGTCACTTCTTTTCTACTGAGAGCATAGGGAGCTTGACCTCCTTCAGGAGGATTGAGTTACTGAGATGGGATTCAGGTCACAGAATCACAGAATATCCTGAGTTGGAAGGGACCCATGAGGATCACTGAGTCCAAATCCTGAGTCCACAGGACCACCCCAAAAACCACATCATGTCCCTTGTCCAAGTGCTTCTTGAACTCTGTCAGGCTTGGTGCCACCACCACTTCCCTAGGGAGCCTGTTCCAGTGCCCAACCACCCTCTGGGTGAAGAACTTTTTGCTAATATCCAACCTAACCCTCCACTGACACAAATTCATGCCTTTCCCTTGGGTCATCTTTAGCTTTCACAGTCTACAGCATAGTTCTATGTCTTATCTAACTCCCAAGCCTTTCTTCACAGTCAGCAGATTAGGTCTAGCACCACCTCTTTTTTGCTAGAACGAGAAATATTTATCCTCACCTCTTTACTTGGAATAATGTAGGATAACTGACTTGCATGTGGATGTCGTACTGAAAACGCCTACATTGCAAAAGAGAACTCCTAAACAAGATGTATAAAAATAAGATGAGTGTCCATGTTAGAAACATTCCCTATCCTTCTCATCTACTATGGATCTTCCAAAGGAAAGCCAATGTACATCTTTGTGTTACCTATTTACAAGTAAGAGGGAATACTTCTGCTCTGTTGCCTCCAAGAGGACCTTGGGGTATTAAAAACTCACAGGGCTGTAAATAGTAGGTGTTAAAGTAATGAGAGGGAGCAGAGGACCACCTCCAGGAGAGGATTTCCTGGTATTTGTCCTGCCCATAATGATGGATGTTAACAAAAGATTGATGGTCTGCCCTGTGAGTATGGTGAAACTGAAGTTACTTTAAATGCATTCATCTGTATGAGAAGAGCACGTATTTCACTTTACAGGCAGTCTTGCCTTTGTTTGACTACTGATTTTATCTGTCTTGCAGCCAAATTGCTGCAAACTCTGATTTCTTAGTCTTTTTTCAGCTCACAAGTGAAAGATCTGTGAAGAAAAAACCTTGAGGGAAAAGCAGAGGCATGACTTTCCATGGACTCAGCTCATCTAACATTAGCCCTTTAGCTGGAATCTAGTTAGAGGCAGCCATCCTAGATCCAGCTGAGAAAGAAGCACCTCTGGGGACAAGCCGGTCCAAGCTATCAGGTCCCTAAGAAGGGTGGGGCATCATGCTCTGAAGTGTCCCTCTCCTCCCAGCACTTCTTGTACGAGAAGTCAACTACCTTAGATAGGCAGAGCAACTTCTAAATAGCTACAGTTGTGTGAGCTGGATTCCTCACTTTATGTGTAGATGTAGCAAGTAATCTCATAGAATCACAGAATGGGTCAGGTTGGAAGGGACCACAGTGGGTTATCTGGTCCAACTCCCGTGTTCAAGCAGGGCCATCCCAGAGCACATGGCACAGGATTATGTCCAGATGGTTCTGGAATAACCCTAGTGAGGGGGACTCCACATCCTCTCTGAAAAATCTGTTCCAGTGCTTGGTCACTGCACAGTGAAGAAGTTCTTCCTCATGTTCAGGAGGAGCTTCCTATGCATCAGTTTTTTGCCTATTGTTGCTTGTCCTATTGCTTGACAACCCCAACAAGAGCCTGGCTACATCCTCTTGGCATTTGCAATTTCCTATCAAATCAGAATACTAAATGAGTAGTGCTGCCTCTGTGTTCCTGTGGAACGCATAAAACCATGGAGATAAGGTTTAAGATGCAAGAGTGTAGAATCTGAGAACCTTAGAGAGCTTCAAGAAATGAGATGGTGGTTGAGAATGTGATAATCTTTCAAGTGGGTCAGGACTGAACAAACAAT